CCCATACCCTGATGGAATAGAAAGACGAGACGTCCAAGGATCTATTCTCTGAGCGCTTGCTGACATTTCGACTTCGCTAGGGCCCCAAAAATGGTATTATGTAGTACTAGGTTCCAAAATTAAAAAATCCATCAAGCTACATGGCTGGCTCTATATCGAAAAACGAGAAACCATATCGACCATGTTTTGATAGACGGAAAGCATACTTCCAGACCACTTTCTTGATGTCAAAATGCTGCAATCACAACAGACCACTAATTTATTCGCCACTCGACTCACACACCTCCTCTCTGAGAGCACTCTTTAACAAAAAGAGATACGAGAGCAGTGGAGCCACATTTCCCGCTCATTAAGTACCAAGCTACCAAAGAAGTAATCGGATTTCAGCGAGCCCGAAAGAACAATTGGTATGATGAGGAGAGAAAGAATAATTTTGGCTAGAATCCAAATAGAAATCTTTTTCTTACAATTTTTTTGGATATATATTCCGCGAACTGAAAACCGAAGAATTTTAAGGAGAACTCATATGACAGTCCAATATTATTAAGAACAGAGGTAAATTTAAATGACAATTTTTTAATTCTTACAAATATGTATATAATCAGCGTTATCATGAGTTTCATTTTCTCCGAACCGGTTCAGTTTTCACTTTTGGTTTCCATGGTTTTACTATGGGCGGATGACAAATTTTCGGGTGAATTTTTTTTCACACGCGAAATTCAGAATAAGGCAGAATATATGTAATTTTCTGTTCTTAAAAAAGAACAACCAAAATAACAACATTCTCGTACAACTGCAACTATTGATATCTACGCACTTAATAAAATTGAATTTTATTTCAATTGGACACGTATGCTTCACCTCTTGTTCACAATAAATATATACACATATACAAATATAGAGCGTAGACCAACCCCTCCGCCTAGTCCACCCCAACAATCGAGCAATACAGCTTCTATTCCTGTAGCAAATTCACACTCACTTATTTACTTGCTGCTGTCAGCTCCTTTGGGAGTTCGGTTTGCCTTGGCTGGATGGCTGGCTGAGTGTCTGGCCACTGTGGTAAACACAACAATAATCGCCTTTCGCAATATATGTATATCTGCTGTTGCTGCCGGTGGTGGGTGGTATTCATTCGCATTTACCGCTGATTACCGGTATTGCATATTTTGCCGGTAACTACTCGTTTATCGTCTGCTATACTACCTTTCTTGTGAAAATGTTTGTACATACGCATCGATGTAGACATGTGTGCTCGCAGAACATTTGTGTGGCGTTTCCTACACACTTTCGCATTTCTCAGATTTTATTGCTCAATTACGTTGAAAGCTTCCAATCAACAGGTATTTTTGTGGCTTCACAGCGCATTGTATGGCCAGTTGGCCATTAATATGTAATTTATATGACCTTTGGGAATGGTGGTCATCGGCAGTTTGTCAACTAAATGTCATAATCAAGGAGGATGTGTGAGAATTTTTGATTAGGAATAAATACAGATATTTACATAAGTACTTATGTATGTACATATATATGTAGTACCCACACATTCATTCTTAACTTGCGTCAACTTTATACTATATAAAGCCGTAAACTGTCATCTAATCTCTAGAGCCTATTGGATCTAGTACCTAGACTCTCAAAAGTTAGACCATTGAGATTAAAGATGTTCCAAACGTTATTCTTGCCTGAAGTGTTCGTGCATAGTTTGTTATTTAATTCATATCAGACGAATAGGCTACTCGGCTTAATAAAAATATTTCTCTTGAGCAACACAGCCATGGAGATGGCTCCTAGGATCATCTTATATGCCCACTTTCCTTCAAAGCAGGATTGGATGGGGCGGAACTTCAGGAGCGGTAGATAGCGGTGAACCCCTTTACGAATGGATCGAAATTGGACGACAGGGTTGGTGGAGGGGTATTGTCTTCTGTTGAGAGCTTTCCATCAACACAAGTTCAGGCATCCGGACTGCTGCAGTGAACTTCAGGCCGAAGTGGCTGCTATTAGAATGGCAGTGAATTCAAAGCTCAGAAGCGCGATGACAGCTGGGGAGGGGAGCATTTATTCTAATAGCCAAGCGGGTCTTATGTGCACTAGAGCTGCGCTCTAATTTAGTTAAGTACAGTCTGCTCTCTATTTCAGTTGTATTAGGCGGCTCATTTGAGTACCGGGACAAAGCGAATTTGCTTTGTGGTTGACGAATTGTTTAGGAAAAATACCCTTGAAACTTTATCACCGGATAAAGAGCGGCTGAGGTGCCATTGATCGCCTGTGGTACAGTCTTGAATAGATATGATTCATGACAGCTCCACAAGCACCGAGAGCTGACAGGAGGCAGTCGAGGACATTCTTCACACTGACAAAGCCACAACAATCACTCTTGGTGGGGGTTTTAACGGGCCACTGTCTAATCGGTATTGACACCCTGTAAGGATGACCATATTACGTGTGCCGCAGTAGTCGGGAGGATAACGAGGTGTAATATGCTCATTTCCAGGCATTCGCGCGGCTTTTATTGAAATTCTGTGGCTCCCACATCCTTAATAGACCTGAGAAGCTCTGGGGCATTGAGATTAGCCAAATTCGTAATTGCCTAACCGGCTCGAGGCATCTTATCGATTAAGAATGTTGTATCACAAATGAAAATCCCTTACTTCTGGGACTGCCATCTAACCTACCCTTACACAGACTTGTACGCCCATGCATTAGTTTTTGAAAGCAATCGAAACAAAATGAAGAAGGGTAAAGGGCCCCTTCCTGGCCTGCAAAAACAAAAGACGCGCATACTGGCGCCAAAAAGAGTGGCGGTCATTTTTATTAGTTTGGCCAACTACTTAATAGATTCTGTATTTAGCATCATATAATTTATAAGAGGAGGTTTAACAAATCCGAAGTAAATTTTCCAAAATTGGAAATGGCGAATCCTAAATGGCGTCCAAGATTAAAAAAAAATTGGAATTTTTTTAAATTTGGTATTTAGAGGTTCTTTAGTTCGCTTATTACAAACTCTAAACTAGTTTTTGAAAATTCAAAATGCAAAATCTAATACTCGTATGGCGTCACTTTTTCAGCTTTTTCATATATAAATAAAGTTATTGAGGTTTGAACTTTGAAAATAACAAATTTCGTATTAAATAAAAAAAATTAAAATTTTATCTTTTGGGGCTGGGTAAAATTTTTTGGGCTGAACAAATCGCAGATGCCTTCATTTATCCCACATTTACATGCGTTAAGCCGTCTGTATTCTTATAATTGCTGATATCATTTCTTAATTAAATTCTAAAGTTATTTGAAAGAAGTTCCCTTTATTAAAATACATAAATATTTTATTTTGTCAAGCAATACCATTGGATTACTGAACTGCAAGAAAGTCACAAAAAGCACAATTTTTAAGATTTTGACAATTTATAGAAAATGAAAAAATGCTTAAATGTGATATAGATCAAATAAGATCATAGAGTTTTGAAACCGCATAAGGTTTAAGTTTTGGGAAATTTCCCTTATTTCTAAAGAAATTAACAGCAGTCAAAATTTCAATTTGACATAATTAATAAGATTTTCTTAGTTTTAGAGAAATTTACGGTCCAATTGACAGCTGCCAACTGTCAAAGTTTTGAATTCACCTACATTCGTGATTAATGTTTCTAAAAGCCTAATCAGTGGCATTTGAAAAAGATTTTCTTATTCTTAGAAAACTTACAATCCATTTGACAGCTGTCACTGTGACCACTGTGTCTAAAAACTTTATCCGCGGTATTTTCAAAAAGAGTTTCTTATTTTTAAATAAATTTACAGTTGATTTGACAGCTGCCGACTGTGAAAATATAAATTTTAAGGCATTTTCGAATCTAGCATAAAATATGGCCTCTCCGACCACTGTGCGCCGAATATAAGTTATTCTATTATGAGTTTTGTCATTGACTTGAGCTGAGCTATTAAGTTTGTAACAAAGAGTTTTAATAAGTTTTATAATACTGATAAATTTATGAATTTCAACATTTCACCTAATATTACTTCCAAAATGAGTTATACAAGTGCTATGCAAAAATATTGCGAGCGCCCGCACCATGGGTGTCACAATAATATTGTTATAACTTTGGAACTCCTTGCTGTTTAAGCCTGAAACTTTCTTATAAATTTCTTTAGTTTTCTTTAGATATTTGTTTATTATTCTGCATTAAAACAAAAAAAATTCAAACTTTATAACCACAACTTTTGCATTTGCAATAACCAGCTCTATACTTTTTATAAAAAAGTTTAAAAATCCGCCATTTTGTTTTTAATAACTCTTAAGAACTGTAGGTAAACTCAGTTTCTTTAGAAAATAAAGAATAAAATTACTTGTGATTTGATTCGTTAACCAAATAAGAAAAAAAATATTTGTATTTGTGATTTGATTTGTAGAACGATTCAATTTGATTCGTGATTTTTCAACTAAATATGTAATACTTTTTTTTATGTAACGCAAGCACGATTTTCAAGTGAAAAATGGTGCTTATCAGGTTTGCAACTTTCAAAACTGAATACAAAAAATATTAAGTTCGGAAATTTCGGAAGTGATAATCTCGAGAATCTCGTAATAGTCCGGAAATAGGCCTGAAAGTCAAGGGAATCCCGAAAATCTCGAAGTAGTTTCGAAAATCCCGAAGTAGGCACAAAAGTACCGAAATATAATAATTAGTTGGTCTCACGAAACCAGTGACATGAGTCTACATGAGTTTACATGGACGAACTTAACTCAGTGGGTAGAACACTGGGTTGTGCACCGAAATTCACGGATTAAAATCCCCGTGAGCTAGAAGAAGACGTTTGATTATACATATAGGAGATGTGGTGATCTCCGAAAAGTAAACTACTATCATTATAAACTATTGTTGCTTTGCCTGTCATTCAAATTGCCTCGAGCTCAAATACAATTATTGAACTAGTATTAATCAAAAATTGCACTTACCCTCTTTTAACACCTTTTTCCATTTCCATTTTTTCTTTATATTTCCCAGCATAAAACCGAACATCGAAAAATTTGAAATCTCTAAAAACTATCAAGGCGGCTATGGTGGTTATGAGGAGATGGAAGAGCGCGACAAGATTGGCGATGGACCCGGTGGTGGCATACCATACGATGATGATAGACCCGATTCGCCAGCCTCATTTGAGGAAATCGAACGCCCGCCATTACGAAAAATCGACAAATATCTTAAAGCCGAGTGCCCTTGTTTGCCAGCGCGTTACACGATTGCGGTGATGGCATGCATAGGATTTATGATATCCTTTGGTATGCGTTGTAATATGTCGGCGGCGAAGCTGAAAGGCGAACACAATCATGTAAGTAAAATGATGAGAAGCAATGCTATTAAAATGAATATATGTATGTATTTATGTATGTATATGTGCACATAACACTATGCAAGCAAAAAAAAAAATCAAAACACCCGAAATAGTGAATTTCTTCACAAAGCTTTGGGGAAGCCTGCGTTTTTAACTTTTCTCCTTGAGATCACGGTTTTTTTTAAAGTACTTCGAAATTTCAAAGAGATGATTTGTTAGTAAAATTTTTATACAAATTCAGGCAATTTAAAATTACAATATGGGCATTAAATGACGGAGAAAATTCTGTAGAAATAAAAAAAAATTTAATTTCTGGTTTCATAAGAACGAATAAGTATTGGAAATGACCTTTTAACTATTTTTTTTTTTTTTTGAGCTAATAAAGTTAGAAGGACGAAGTTCTAGGATGTGGTCGTGTTTATATGAGCAAATTTCACGAGTTGTTTTTAGTGTCACTTCCTTCTATCGCCAGAAAAAACCCCTAAATTCTGCTTGCATATACAGTGACTCAAACATATGACCACGTGTTGATTTTCTTCATATATTCGTAATGCTTTTGGAGCAAAATTTTTTTTTTGTTATTTTTATATAAAAATAACGTCTAAACTTTAACCAAACCTGTTTCGAACTTTATACAAAATGTAAGAAAATTCAAAAAATTTTCATCAAAATTTCAACTTTTTATTCTGAATTTTTAAGGTTTTTTAGCCGTTTGAAACTTACACTTTATTAGACTAAAATTGTATGAGCTATAAAACAGCTCAGAATAAAAAGTCGAAATTTTGATGAAAATTTGTTAAATTTTCCTAAATTTTGTATAAAGTTTGAAACTGTGATTTACACTGTTTTGGTAAAAGTTTAGACGATATTTTTATATAAAAATAACAAAAGAAAATTTAAATTTGTTTTTTTTTTCGAAATTGACCGCTTGCTGCAAATTCGTTCTACACTCCACAATGCATAACTTGGTAAACTTTTGTGGCTAAAATCCCTATATTTTTAATATTTTTATTGAGCTTTGTACCACGATTGTTTATTAGG